TTTCCTTGTTCATTGAGTCCTCACATGGCAGAAAAGATGCAAGAGCTCTCTGGGGGTCTCTCTTATAAAGGCACTAATCCCATTCACGTGTGCTGCACTCTCATGACTTCATCATTCCCAAATACTCACCTCAAAATACTACTGGGGATTATGTTTCAATATATGCATTTGAGGAGGCATAAGCATTCAGTCCATAACATAAGTGAAAATCAACATTTTTCTTATATAAACAAGTACTTTCACATGACTTTGAGTGCAAATATTAAAAATAAAAAGAACATATATTTGTAAGCTATTGAGGAATATATTTCATGTATAGGCAGTAGCAATTTAGCCCAACAGTGGAATGACTTGTATTGGAAATATAAGCTATACTCCATAGGCAATAGAGAGTTCAAATATGCAAATGGGCTAATTTAGTTTTTCCAGCAGTATTAAGAATTAGATAGCAAGGCCATTTTTCAGGAATATTGGGAAAACAGGACATTATTGCAATTACCCAAATGAGGAATGCTGAAGACGTATGTAGAATTTGCAACATTTGTAATAGAGGCAGTAAGTAGCTTGGAATTAATGTGACTTATCAGAGATACAATAATATATCCTTGTAGCTGAGAAAATAAGAAGGTTGAAGAGGAGAAATGGCTAGGCAATGATATCAAGGTTTTTTTGTCTTGAACGCCCTGGAAAATGGTGACATGATGAGCCAAGTTGATGTCTCGTTGGAAAATTAAGGATATTAAAAAAAATGAAAGGACAAACTTATTTAGAGATAGGTTTAACTTTTAACAGGTTGAATTATAGTCTAGCAGGATATTCACACTAATTTTTGGCAGGCAATTTGAAATAGGAATTTATAGATTCAGAATAAATGCTGGGGCTGAAGTAGCAATCATCCATGCAGAGATTTTAAACAAATGTCTAGTAATGTGTTATATAACTAGAGTTGGAAATTATAAAGTGAAAAATAGAGAGAGAAGAGGAAGAGGAAGAAGGAGAAGAAGAAGGAGGATGAGGAGAAGGAGAAGAAGAAAGAGGAAGAAAAAGATGGAGGAGGGTGAGGGAAAAGGGGAGAGGAGGGAGGAAGGAAGAAGATGAACTATGAAGGAAAGCTATATGTATAGTATATTTCCCAAATGTTTAATGAAGAAAGGTGTTATTGACATGTTTGGCTATATAGATAGCAGAGGTATGTGATGACTGACAAAATTATTAACTCTTTCATTTTCCAAGAGTATAAAATACAGCATATTTTTGGTAATAACATCCCCAGTCAGATGAATACTGAATACATGATGTACCCAAGGCAAGAAATAAAGAAGATTAGGGGAAATGAATATTCACTATTTCTGGTGATTCCTTCCATGGGAAAGGCCCTCCCTTAACATAAAGATCATATTTTCTTTCCAACCCTCATTTATTCCTCTCTTTGAAAGATGAAGTGCTCAATCTGATTAGTTAATTTGTGACAAGGAATTGGGCATGTGTAGCTTGGTACCATTCCCGATGTGGTATCTGCCCACCTGCTTGTACCCCCATCCCTGTGCATGCAGAAGTGACTGAGAAATCCTTCCTAAGGGAATAAATGAACAATGTCCAACAGCAATTAAAAATACACAGGATCCTGGAAAAAGTGAACTTAATTTAGGATATGGTAGAGGGAAATTCATAGGATGATGACAGGAAGAATTCAAAGGACAACAGCTATGCAATTTTCCTACAAAGTCACAAGTCCAGTTTGGAATGAGAGGATGGAAGGTTCCAGAAAAGACGTTTCAAAGGAACAAAAAAAGTATATACATATATAATAGATTATCTGGTAGATTTGATTGTTGCAAAATCAGTTTGAGAAGTGTTTTACTAAGTTGTTGGATGTTATGTTGGAGGTTTTACAAAACAATTAGATTAGAACAAAAAAGCCCTGCAAATTTTAAAAATAAGAAGATTGCTAATTAATACTTGGGAAAAAAAAAGGCTGCAGGAAAACATATATGTTACTAAAATATACTACTTATCATTGAATAATATTTACATAGTCATAAGAGGTCTCCAATTGAAATATAATTTACCACAGATGTTTGAAATATATTAAAAGAATTTTGGAAAGAAACCCTGAGAGTAAGTGGGGGTAAATATATAAGCAATCATCATCTTTCATAGAAAATCAGTAGATATAAGTAAGAAAGCAAAAAACATGAAGCATGCTATAGAGAAAATAGAGGTAAGTACTAAAAAAAAATAAACTGGAAGTGTTGAAAAGTGGACTCAACAGATCAATCAATGGGTAAAGGAATTACATACAGAAGATGGCATTTTCTGTTACTTTTAATTCTCAGTTTTCTGTATTGTATTTTATATCATGTTCCTTTATCATTTTGATAAAGAAATTTTTAGACAACACAACCTCTTTAGTTAAAGAGGTTGCATGCAATTGTCAATATTTTGAGTTATTTGAATAAAGTAGAGATAACATAACCATCTATAATAGGTACTAAAAAATTAAATAAAGATAATTGCCTATAAATAATTTTTTTTAAATAGATGTAAATTCTGAGAGTAAGTTAGATTCGTGACAAGTTTGCTCATTTGTTAAGGACAGAAATACTTGATTCAGAGGAGGGGAAATACGGAAAGTACAATGGAGAAAGGAAGTAGTTTCTTGAACAATCATTCTGGGAGCTAGACTTATTTAAAAGAGAATATATGCAACCAACATTTTCATAGGCAAGGGGATGATCATTAACAAGAAAAGTTGCACCTGAGTGATATTATCTTCATGAATTAGGCTAAAGGTAAAGGTGGGGAGGAGGAGAGTCGATGAAAAGAGGTGCTATTTAGGGTCAGTGAGGAGAGAAATGATGTTTTGCAATACCTATCGAAGAACAGAAGATAATCTCTGCCACAGGAACAGAACATTTATCTGATGTATTTAATTATATGTGGATTTTAGAAACTGACATCAGTTTAGCTTAAAATACAGCTTTCTTAGCAGCAAATATTTTTTCAGTCCCAACCACCATTTACTCATTCAACCCTGTCCCAGGGCCACGTCCTCTAGCAGACTATTAGGATAAACCAGTGGTGGTGGGTGCAGGACAGATAATATGGAAGCTCAATAAAACTAGATCACTTCTTTTTTAAAAAAATTGCTTGCACTTCTATGCTCCCCCACCAGGGTCCTCTGTCCACAGCACAGACCTCAGACATGGCAGCCCAGGGCAATATGAATAGGACACTGTAACCACCAATCCTCTAAAAGGATAGGCCCCAGGTCACTGCTGCTATATTTTACTGATCAAAGCAGCACTGTTTCAGTAACATAGAGGATTCAACTCCATCTCTCAGTGGGTGGTGTGGTACATGCACAAAGAGGGCAGGAATTTATGGAGGACCAATTTTTAAGATAAATCAATGTCGGTTGTGTTGAAATTTTTTTTTAGACTAGTTTGAAATTACTCATAATTTTGCAAATAACTGACTAAAAAGTGTACTTCTAAGGAACTTTGAGAAAATGTATGAGCAGGAATTGAGAATAGTCTGCAAATGATAACATGGTTCAAACTATGAAATTTTTAACAAAATGATAAAAATGGGACTCACAAAGAGGAATATTTGAATAGGACATTTGAAAGGATAATAATAATAAAAAAAAGACAGGACTAAAGAGAGAGACTCTTCTTGAACAGTTTCTGAAGTAGAAAGTACTAGAAGTTGAGAATACAACCCATTGGTGAGGTGGTAAATGTTTAAAAACTGGCAGTCTGGGAAAAATAGAATCTTGATTTGTAGGATTTGCATATTTCTGTGTGTATGTGTTATAGTCCCACCATGATTTATTTCCAGCTAGTAACCTGCTTGTAAAATTTTGCTGAAATTGAATAATAAACTCTTGAGGGCTAATAATAACCAGCACCAGCATACCACTGTAGTAAATCCAATGGTAGGTATTTGGGTTTATCGTATATATTGTTGAAGGACAAGAAGTTTTATTATTGTATATAATATGTACATGAATATATTTCATCTTTTCAGTAAGTTTTTTAATCATTAAAAAACAAACTTCTGTACCTTTCATAAATAACTAGGGGACTATCCTAAGAAATTTTGTAAAGAGAGATGTGGACTCTGTAGATCATAATAAAAATAATATCCACTTGCTCAGAGTCAACATAAGTATATTCACTTAACATAGTAAGTTTTAAACAACATTTACAAGAATTCCCATGAATTCGAGTTGTTTTAAATATTTTAAAAATTATATAAAATAATGTGTTAAGTTGTAAAAGAGTTATATAATATATTATGGCACTGCTTTGTGGAAAATTTATTCTTCTGAATAACTAAAAGATGCAAAACCTCTAGCAAGAATTGACCAATGAACTGAAATTCAAATATACACAATCAACTGTATTTGAGACATATAATATTTAATTGGTGAGAAAAAGCTAAATGCCAGCTCCATGAACAGTTTTCCAGAGCACAGAAAATTACTTGAATTAATCTAGATTCCAACTTCTGGAACCCTTGCAACAAGAAAAATAAAAAATAATAATAACCCCTAATGGCTGAAACATAATTACCATTTATTATGTCATTAAGAGTATTTTTTTTCCTAAACACCTGTGCTGTACCTGTTTATGTTAAGAAACTGTATTTCCACTCTGAATACAACACAATCCAGCCTTGGCAAAATAATACATGTCTCTATGTAACACCTTGCAACTCATTTGGTAAACTTCCTCAAAGTTGAACTTTTTGAACTTCCGTGATACCTCTTTCAGTTGGCAAACTATTTCCTCTATTTTTAATCAAGGTTCTTTGAACTATATGTGTCCTTGATTTTCAAGGTATCTACAGAAATTCTTCTTTTTTTTTTTGACTATTACAGAAGTTTATGTAACAAAAAAGTTCAGTAAGAAAATGTACATGACCCATCGTAGTAAAATGTGGAGAGGGGTCACGTGGAAGCAGTTGATTTCTCTGGTGAAGACAGCCATTGTTCATACTCCTTCCAAGGCTTCTAACATGATGATACTATTTCCTTGTATTACCACAATTCCAATATTGTTCTGTTGCCCACTAGTTGCCATCTCCACACATTCATCTATCACAAGATTCAAAAAGGGATCAAATCCCCTCAATATTCCTTGGACATGTCTGCCACCATTTAATATTAATGATAACTTCTTGTCCATAAATTTATTCAAATCGGGAGGGTGAGCTTTGCTCATAATGTCTACTCGACGAGCTCAAAGATGCCGCCAAAACGAATTCAAGCTGTCCCTCACGCTCAAGAGGTTTTATATATATATATATATATATATATATATATATAAAATAACTAGATATTTTTCTTATACATCATTTTAACAAAAGTGTATGTTAAATATGAGTTTTTCACCCATAAATATTGACCAAAACCAGATATATAAATCTATATCTATCTATTTGTACAATTTATTTCAGCATATATATATATACAAAAGTTATATTTTTATAATTTTTCCACTAAAAATTGGAGTATTTAAAACAAAGTGTTTTGGGAAATTAACCTGTGAGGGATTTGCAGAAATTCTTTAAAGTATGTATATATCTATGTTTATCTACCTATTTGTTTAGTCTATCTACCAATATGAATAGTGTGGTCCCATTTGCAACAAAATTGTTATAAATAAGTACCAACAATTATTTTACTGGCTTGAGTTATTAAAATTAAATAAGACAGAATAATTTAAGTAAAAATTCCAAAATATAGAAAACTCAGAACATTTTAAATTAAAATATTCCAAAGATGGAGAATAAGTGAATTTATACTCACCTTAACCTGCTACATCTTTCAGATTATGGGTGTGTAACAATAGTAGATTTTTTTCAGCATTCCAGACTCACTTGGACCCTAAAGTCATCCTGGAGACTGCTGGGCAGGGAGAGCAAGAGGAAGACAAGGACATAATTTAAAGAACATATTTATTAAGCATTTGAGTAAAAATAACTTCTGCGACAATAAGTATGGAAAAAACCCAGGTGCTTATCACAGCTTATTACTCATGACACGGAAACAAACTGAAACATCTAACACTATAGCATAATAATCTTACCTAAATCTTCTGATTCATTACATAAAAATCAATGAAATAAATATGAAAGTGCATTTATGCTGAAATTGGGCTCTTATGAAAAAAAGTGGTAATAATTCTCAACATTTTCTAAGTTTTTATAGAATCAAACTTTTATTTTGTGGCTGTACTAGACGCTAATATATGTTTTGTTAGACCTGGAGAATTTTTCTTATTATCATGATATTCCAATATGAAATTTCTTCATATAAACACATTTTAAGTCCTCAGAAGATTAGATATGATATTTAATGGCAAATGAAAGACAAACATAGGAATTGTATAATTAAAATCAAACATGCATTTTTGTATTTGCTCTTCCTTAAAAATAACTGTTGTCACAATTAGTTCTAATTATCGTGAAATATTTATAACATTTCTAAAAGAGTGTGATACAAACATTAACTTTCCTAAGTGCCCTGTGCCTCTGAGTCTGAATCACAGGATCCACAGAAGGACTGAAAAGAAAGTAATTATAATTTTAGCTAGGGTTATCTCTAGTGAGGGATTAGTGTTCTTTACTTTTAAGCATTTATAATTTCCAATTTTTCAAGTTGTTTCATTAGTAGGAATTTTTAGGTTTGTTTAAAAATTATAAATGTATTTAGAAATTAATAGATTCTGTGAGGAGTTGTATGCCACAAAGACACATTTGAATTATACTGAGGAAGTTTTGATTTAGAAAAGATAAATGCATGTCAAAGGTCTCAAGACCAGGCAGTAGCAGGGTCAGAACTCCCATTACATTCTATAAAACTCCAAATCTCTGGTCTTCAATATTATCCTACACTGCCTATATATAAAGGTGTATCCTGAACTATTGAAGCTTCAAATGGACATTAAACCTTAATTTCACAGAGCAACATGAATGTGCAACCCATTAACAATATAGGACTTTAATAATCTATCAATTTGTAAACAAATAGTTTTACAGTAACTGAGAATCACTAGCCACATCTTTGGAATATATAGATTTTTGGTTGAAAGGCTAATAGATATTCAATAATAACAACAAAAATAATCACAATGGTAATAACATAACCTACAAACATAAATTGTGTAATCAGTGTTCTTCCAATAGCTTTGAATAATTTATCTCAATTATTCCTCACATTAAACCATTACATTTCTATTATTTAGATGAAGAAAATGAGGTTTACAGAAGTTCTACAACTTGTCCAATATCACAGAACAATATGGTTTTGCAGTGTCAAGTTTCAAAACCTACTGTGACCTCAGAACTTACTATTGTAGTAAGGACTTATGATTTGAGGTTTGCTGACAGACAAAATTATAACAGGAAAAGCATTTCTGGAGTAACAATTTGGAAAGCTTGCAATTTGTTCAATCCTTTATATCTATCTCTGTATCTATCCTTTTTATTTATATCTATATCATCTATATCTATTTCTATCTATCAGCTATCTATCATCTATCTATATTGAGGCAGTGATAAAGTGGTACACAGTTTTGTTTCTGTTTTTTAACAGAATGAGATATCTTTTATCATTTTTCACAGTTGATACTGAAAGAACGTTTAACATTAAAAGTAAACAAAGTACTTTTTTTGCGATGTTGAAAGCTCTTAGAGAAAACAAAGCATGAAAGCAGTGAATGCATTCCTTCTAATAAAGTAATTCTTAACTTTTTAAAAACTAAGCATCAAAGTAAGCATCTATTTCTGGACATAGTTAACATTAATCTGACTTCTAGACAAGCTGTTTGGCAAATTTTACTTTAATTGACATTAACAGTAGAGTTTTATTGGAAAGTGTTGGCAAGCTTATATGCAAACAACCTTCAGTATAAAGGAGAGGTTCTGGAAATGTGATGAGAATTTATTATAGTCTTCAGCATTTACTCAGAGAGATATACTGAACAATGAAACAGAAAGAAATAAGACCATCCATCACTTCCTCACAAAAGGACCTAAGCTCTTATGTCCATTAATACTGTTACATTCTGTCAGCAGTCAATGAGAAGACATCACTGAAAAATTCTCACAAAAGTGTTAAGTTATACATATGTCCCAAAAAAGGCACTTCCTTCATTCTGGTTGAACTTAGTCCAATACCATTTTACTTTTTAACTGAAGAAATTCAACTTAAGTATTCATGGTTATTGTTATATAGTTATTTAACTGTATTCTCCCTGTGAGGTAAAGAAATAATTAATGGTTTCTTTTTTTTTTTTTTTACTTAAAGAGGTAGAGATTCTTTGAGTCTTTATTTCCTAGGCTCTGATACAATAATTACATTAGTGTCTGTCCTACCATGTTGAAGAGTAAAGTGGCTGGTACAAGTGATAGCCATGGCATGGTGAGAAGAACATTTCCCACCAGGTGTGTGCATCTATCATGGCACTTATCATTCTCTGTTGTAATTGTTTGGTTGACCAAATGCTGCTTTGTACAGCTATAGGTTATCCTTCTCATTGTGTGGAAAGCCACAAAAAGTAGCTGTAACACACAAATACCTGGACAGTTTTCTACCATATCCTTTAAAGTCTTAGTTGAGTGAGTCTGAATGCCAAGGTATGGCAGTTGCACAATTTATAAAATTGTTTTGATTGCATGTAACAAGAATCTAAATATCTGCTCTGGGAATGAAGGGTGGCAGTGTGCAGTCCATGTCCTTGATCCCACTTTAACGCAGCTTATTCTGTACTTTAAGGTTTGTTACTTGCACTATCCTTTGTCATACAGCACTATCTGTAGTAAATGGCTCTCTTTGGGTTACAAGCCATGTAATCCTAACTCAAACTAAAATGCAAATTACATAAATAAATCTTAAATAAGTTTGCAAATGAGAGAAAAAATAATCCATGGGTCTTCTTACTTTCAAGTGTAGGTAGATCCAAGATTGTAACTAAGCCTCTTTGCCATCATTGGTCTCTCATGTTAAATCTGCTTCTCCTTGCCTTGGAATCACCTACTGTCCAGTGCTGTCTTGATATATCTGGACAAGGCTAGCACTGAATTTTATGCATATCATATTTTTATCTAGCACTATCAGAGGAAACGGAATTGTCTTTTTCAGTAGGTTCAGTGAGGAACTTGCGACGATTATGATTTACTAACAATTCCTATAAAGGAGTCATTTGTTCAAAACGTGGACCGAGAAAAACTAGCCTCCTCCAAAGCATATGAAACAGGGTTCATACTGAAGGTATCTCTGTTATGGGAGTAGTAAGAAGAAATAGTGTGATATATGAGTTTATGGTACTTATTTTCACATTTGTGCTTATTGACATGAGTTATTGAGGTTGAGACATAATTTTAAAGTCATCATTGTTCTCATATTGGAAAGAATATGCTTCAATTGCACCAATGTCATTTCTGAAACAGCCACCTTCTCTCCTTACCCCTGGAGACCGAGAGCACTAGAATCACTACACATTTCCAACTGGAAAAGCAATCATAGTTTAGATATGATAATAGTATTTTATAATGTAGAATACATTCATTTTTAACTGAAATTTTGCTTTATCTTTGTTTCTAAATGCTTAATTAAGGTGTATATAAATGCCATTGCTAAAGAAAAACCATATAGTTTAATTACCTGAAGTTTTAGTTACCTAAAGCACAATGAATTACCTTTATGGATCATATATGAAAAAAAAACTAGGCATATTCTAACTTCCATACAAATGATAATAGGTAGAAATGCTCCTATTTTAAAATTTTGCTCAATAGTCATCTATGACTAGAGACTGAAAGCCAGTGGAACTGACTCTGTATCCATCTTAGGAAAAGGCAGCTACTCTTGTCTGTGTGTCTGTGTTTTTCTAAATTATTTGGCCTAGTTCTTAATTTGTTTCAACATTGCGGTACATTCTCAGTACTCTCTGTGTATCTCTAATTCCTTAAAGAAACACTGATTTTAGAATTAATGAAATAAATGGAGCCTCAGAACAATGTTTCCTAATATGTTTACTCTATATTTCAAAACATTAAAGTGTATTCAGATCAATGAAAACTGTATTAGAATGTGATGTTTCTGAAGAAACACTAAGCAACACTGACTGAAAATAGTTTAAATGAGGTAAAACCAGCTTAAACTTATTTGTAAATTTCACGAATATCCTTCATGGTATAAAGAGAGAAAAAGACATAA